TGCAAACGGAAAGATATGACAGGAAAAGAACAGAAGAAATATTTACTTAAAGGAAACAATGGAAGAAATTAGAAGACTACTGTGCTAGTTGGGTAATGTGTACACGCACGCACGCACGCCCACATCCAGGTTACCTACAAGTCAAGAAGCAGTTACCATGTTTTGAATCTGGTAGGAAGGATTGTGAAAAGGACAGTAGGGAAGGGCCCAAAATGTGTTAGGGATAGGATAAAGCTATTATCAGAGGCACCTTTAACATGTTCTTTGAAGATAATGCCTCAGTGAGAAAAGGTCTCATCCTCCTAATTTTTACCCTGTTGAAAGAGAAGTGCTTGACTAGCATGCATGAAACCCTAAGTTTGATTCCTCAGTACCGCATAAACAGAAAAAGCTGGAAGTGGTGCTGTGGCTCAAGTGGTAGAATGCTAGCCTTGAACAAAAGAAGCTCAGGGACAGTGCCCAAGCCCTGAGTTCAAGCCTCAGGACTGGCAAGAGTCCAGACTTTTTTGATCTCTTCTCTCCCTCCCTAGGATAGCAAACTACTGAAGAATGAAAAGACACCTATAGAACATATTTAGGAGATTCCATTCTGTGATCTATAGACGATAGGCTAGACTCAGTAGAAATTTCTGCTGTCCAAGTTCTCAGGTCCATAGATCCAGCAATAGGAAGGAAAATTTTTCCTTCCTGCTCTTCAAACAGGATCTAAGACCATTTAACTCTGCTGTAAAGCTAACTATTTCAGGTTTTCACAACGAAACACTGTCCTAGCACAGGGGACTACAACATATCAATTCATGGATTTTCTTCTTTGGTTCTGAGGATTATAAGCCAAACACATACAACTCCAGCCCTTCAAAAATAAAGGAAAAATAAAAGTGCCTGAAAACCAATGGTTTGAGAATATTCTTTTTACAGTAAGTTAAGTGATGATCAATCAATGACTTCACTTAGGGAAGATACTCAAACACATTTATCATACTCTTACTCAAAGTATGTATAAAATTAATTTATATTTAAAATATATAAAGTTCCCTGGTGAAGGTAGGCAAAAAAATATTCGAAGACTTCCTGACACAACCAAAGTTTTCTGGTTATATTTACCATTGTCCTTGGTTAAAATAGACTATAGTTATTTTAATATCTGAAAACTAAAAAACTTCCAACACTATTTCTTGGGCTACCTTTTGCTTACTCAGGTAGGAAAAAATATTCCCACTTACTTTCTTTTAATATAACCTGCTTTCTTTATTTGAAACCACCCATGGTTCAACTCACATAGTCCTAGTTCCAGTTTTGGCTAAGTATACATTTGTCCTCCTAATCCAACTGTGGAGAATATACCAAAAACAATCACAAATAGAAATAAACTAATATCAACTTTAACTGAAGCTGATATATAGTAAAAGAACTGGTTGGTTACTTTACTAACATTAAACAACATTTAAAGGAAGTGGCGCTGTAGCTCAAGTGGTAGAGCGCTCACCTTGAGCTGAAGAGCCGAGGGACAGCGCCCAGGCCCAGAGTTCAAGCCCCACGACCGACAAAAAAAAAAAACAAACACTTAAGTGAAACCAAAATAGGTACACTTTACCCAATTAGAAAATTAACACATGGGTTCAATGACTAGACTTTGTTGTGGTTTTGCTATGTGATATTTTGGATGGTGGGTTATCTAACCTCATGGCCCCAGCTGCCTTATCTACTAAATAGTGGAATATTTATGATTGTGAAGATTGACACTGCTTTGAAGAATCTGTAATACACTAATTGCTCAATACGTTTTTCCGCTACCTCTTTCTGCTTAATTACATTTTGTGAGTGAGTCTATTTTACAGGTAGTTCTTACATTTGAGCTATATATCAAAAGATAACAATACCTTAACTAAATCACAAAATTACCCTTATTCTAGCAAACACTAAAATGTACTGTTAAAAACAAACCACTTGGAGCTGGGAAGTTGGCTCAGTGGTAGAGCGCTTGCCGTGCATGCCTGAGGCCCTGGGTTCGGATTCCTCAGCACCACATAAGAAAAAAGCCGGAAGTGGCGCTGTGGCTCAAGTGGTAGAGCGCTAGCCTTGAGCTGAAGAGCTGAGGGACAGCACCCAAGCCCAGAGTTCAGGCCCCACGACCGGACACACAAAAAAAACAAAAAACAAACAAATTAAAAAAAACCCCACTTAATTGGGTGCTGGTGGCTCACACCTGTAATCCCAGCTACTCAGGACACTGAGATCTTGAGGATGGCGATTCAAAACCAGCCCAGGTAGAAAAGTCCTTGAGACTCTCACCTCTAATTAGCCAGCAAAAAGCTGGAAGTGGAGCTAAGGCTCACAAGCCAGCCTTGAGAAAAAAAAGCTTAGGAACAGCACCCAGGCCCTGAGCTCAAGCCCCAGAACCAACACAAACAAAAAATCCAAAAAAATCCCCCAAATAATCCTTAATTCTCAAGCCCAGAATTTGAAATTGCTAGTGGAAGTATCTTTTTAATTTGCAAAATTATTTTGTGACTCCATCAGCTTTTCACTATCCTGCCTCAGTTTCTCTCCAAAACTACACAGTATACCCCCAAGCACAGATTCACTTTGCCCTTTTGTCTTTAAAGCTCATCACACCACAACTCAGCAATGAAAATAATATTCTGCTTTTCTCTAAAAGAAATTTGTCTATGCAAGGAAATGTCTAAACATTTAAGATACACTTTTGAGACTCTGGTCAAAAAGGCCAAGATTTTGCTGGGCACTTGGGGTTCATGCCTGTAGTCCTAGCAACTCAGAAGACGAGAGCAGAGGATCATGGTCCAAAGCCAGCTGGGGCAGGAAGGTCCATGAGACTCTCAATTCCAACAAACCACTCAGAAAAAGCCAGAAGTGGGACTGTGGCTCAAGTGGTAGAGTGCTTGCCTTGAGCTAAAGAGCTCAGGGACAGCGCCCAGGCCCAGAGTTCAAGCCCTATGACCAATCCCCACCCCCCTACCAAAAAAAAAACGCCAAGATTTAAAGATTTCATGGGCTCAAGACACAACCAAATTCTAACTAAAAGCAAAGCAGGACACAATTATTAACCACACTATTTGGAGGAGGAGTCCTTAGCTATTTTAGATAGCTTAATCATCTTTAAAATGCTCAAATTATCACTTGGAAGGCAGACTGTGCCGAAGAACTTAGCATTCTTCAAACTTTATTGAACTTTGCTAAATGAAGACAAAGCCTTCAAAAAGCTTAAAAAGCAGGGCTTAAAATTTTCAAGTGGTTAAATAATAATCTAAAAACAAATTTAAAGATGAATTTCATCAAATAGGAAGAAATTTACTTGTGTTATATTCAATGTACTTCAGACAACAGGCAAACTACAGTGATAAATTTGAATTTTAAGCTGCTTTAGGAGAATGTAATAAATCCAAAATCCCAGGAGGAAAAGAGCACCTAGCTATTTCTTGGTACCATCATGGCTCATGACCTATATACAATCTCTCCATAGCATTCTCACATATGGCAAGTTTTCACTATCATGTGGCAGAAGTTCTCATGATAATAAGTAGGCCTGCATATTCTATTAAATCTAAAGAAAAACCTAAGGAATAAAAATTAAGGTGCTACCTTCATATTTTTCTTCAGTACGCCAAAGGAGCGAGCAAAGGACCAAGACACTGAACAAGGGCAAATTTTCAGAAGCCTAATCCCTAACAGAAACCTTTGCTAATTTATTAGTAACAAAACACCATGGCAAAACTACCTTGCTAACCCTGTGCTTTTGGCAAAATCATGCACAATCCATTTCATTAAAGTAGCAAGGAGCTTAGATAGGTGTTCATCCCATCACTGCAAATCCACAACAACCTTATAGTGAAAATCAGAAAGTATAAATTTTGTGCTGAAATCAACTTTCCACATGGTCTGAGGGCAGTTGTTAAGAACACTCAGACATACATATATGTATGTATGGTGGCCACTTCTGGCAAGTAAAAAGTTTCTCTAAATGGGTAAGACACAAACCGAGGAAACAGGAATCCTATGGCACACCTTCCTAAAATGAGCACCATAAAAAAATAACACAAACAGCCATTCTAAATCTAGTTTACTCTTGCCAGAATGGACACACCTACAGTTTCTTATCAAAACTTACCAAGAGAAGACTGAGCGCTTACTTAATTTAGTTCTGAACTTGAACAAGTAGTACACCAGGCACCTCCACATTGATATCCCAAGAAGTTTCACAGAAAAGCCAATAGGATCCTCTATTCTGGTTCACACCTATGAGTTCATTAGGTGTATTTCTCTTGAATATACATACAACTAAGTCAACTAAAATCAATACGCGCCGCACCCCCCCTTCCCCCCAGCACACGTTGGCATTTTCAGTTTATAGGCGGGTCCTGGACCAGCTAAAACCAGGAAGCTCCGGGGTAATTAGAGGACTCAGGAAGTCATCTTGGGAGAAGTAGAAGATGCAGAGCAATCAGACAGGGGGCACCAGGAGAAGGATGTCACCTTTCCTTCCTATCCCTTCCAAACTTCACCCACAGAGGACTCAGAAGTCCCGAAGGGGGAGGCCATTTTAATGAGGCTTGGCTGAAGGTGTAGGGAGGGGAAGAAAGGAAATCAGGGAAAGAAGGGCATTCGTGAAAGAAAGCCGACTGACTACTCCCTCTTCCAAAAGCACCCGAGTCGGTGGCAGTACCAAGGGCCAGAAGGAGGAGGAGCTGGACTTAAAGACCCGAGGGAAGTACAAAAGTAGCGGCGGCTTTTCAATCACGAAGGGTGCCCGAGTAGTCTGAACCTTGGAAGAGCGGGCCCCACACCCCCAAGAGGTGTTAAGGACCCTGTTCTGGCCCGCCGTACCGACTCACACCCTCAAGTCAGAAGCTACTACCCAGAGGTCCAGAAGGCGGGAGTTGGCTAGTGCCTGGTTCTCCCAATCCCTCCATGCGGCGCGGGGGCGGCCATCCTGAGGGGTCCGGAATCCAAGAGGGCACAGGGGGGCCGGACGAGGCGCTCACCCGCGGGCCGCCTCCAAGCTCTTAATGAGCTTCTTGATCTTCCAAATTTCCACGTTCCTGTCGGCAGCACTGGGGTCGTCCGCCATCTTCTCGCCTCCTCCTCCCTAGAGCGGCCCGGCGGGGCCCGGAGACACCAAGACCACAGAGTTAGCGCCGCCGCTGGGGCAGAGCGGCCCCCTTCCTCGCCACCCCCGAGAGGCCCTCCTTTTCTGGCCAAAGCGGCAGGCCGCGTAGGCTGCTGGCCTTTCCTTGTCCTGCCTCACCTAAGGGCCCAGTCCTGGGCGGCGGCGGCTGCTTCTCCCCGGCGGCGGCTCCGCGGCGGCGGCGGCGGCTCTGACGTAGGACACCGGCTCCCTCTCTCCAGGCAGCTGCATGTGTTGCAATCCGCTCACATGGGGCCTGTGATCTCACTTCCTCAGCTAGGGGCGGAGTGGAAGGCGGCGGGCGGAAGGGAGTGGGCCGGCGCGGAGGAAGGGAAGCTCTGCGCGCGCCGCGACTTTCCATTGGTCCTCGGCGTCGCGGTCTACAACGGGCCCGCTGATTGGTCGCAGAGGGGGCCGCGCTGCCTTGTGAGGTAGGGATCGGGGGCGGGAAATTCCGCTTTCCTTCCGTCCCGGCGAGCCGAAAGGAGGAAGCGGGCGGAAGCCGGTAGCTCTCGCGAGGATTGACTTGAACTCCGCCAGGCTCTAATGGGGGGGGAGGGGGTGTTGTTCTTAAAGGGCGAGACGAGGGGGTCGGATTTTCCGTTTCTCCTCCGTGAGCAGAGTGGCCGTCTTGACACTTGGCGGTGCAAGGACTGGACATTACGGCCGCAGAGCGCGCGTTGACTGTCTCTGGAGAAGCCTCAAAGAAGCGTGTCGCGCGGAGCGACTTTGCTGACGAAGCGCTGAGGCCCGTGAGCGTCACGTTGAGTCCCGGCCAGCGGGTCGGGGTGTTGGAGCCTCCGTCGGGCTAGGCCGGGGCTCTCCCCTGCGGGGGCCGAGGAGAAAGGTTTCATATCGCTCTAGTGCTAATGTGGAGTCACTGTGGACTTGGGACTTTCCGGGGTTCAAGAAAGGAGGGGTTACCTGAGGTTGGAGCCCTGGGGTATTGGACTCTATGTGTGGTTTTGGTCTGAACTCTTATGGAGTGAAAGTGGGGAAGGCGTTGAAGCAAAATGGGCAGCTGTGTACGTTGAGACTTTTCCTTTTCGAATTAAGGTGTTTAATTAGCTTTGCTTCTCGTCTCAGTTGGGTTCATTTGCATGTTTGAAGTCCAGATTGTGTTACATCTTGTTTTCCAGGAGATAACAGAGGTGAACCGTACCGATAAAGTGCACACTCGGAGCTTACAGTCTTATTTGGGTTTAGAACCACTTGTGATTTTTTTTTAGTACTTTTGTTAAAGAATTGTACAAGTAATTCACAGTGTTCTGGGAGTGTGATAGAGGGACCCAATTAAAGTGAACCCTAAAGGGATGAATACGAGTTTGTCAGGAGGTAGCGTCGCATATTTCGAGCAACTACAAAAACAGCCCTGCTTGGGTTGTTGGGCAAAAATGGAAGCCTCTCTTATGTGAAAAAGACAATTGTATTTTAGGAGACGGTAGTGACAGTACCAATAGAAGTGAATGAATAATATATGAAGGCTAGAATGGATAGATAGCACTGGATCGATAATGGATTTATATGGCAAGAATTGCTTCGAAAGTATGAGACTACTATTACTGAGTTAGGAAATATGAGGAACAGGTTTTGTAGATGGTCATTGAGAATTTTATCTTTGGCTCTGTTAAGTTTGAAGTAACAGGGAATAGGAATGCTGGGTTCAATTTCCAACATCTAACACCTATGGCTAGTTTCAGGTTGCTCACGGAACATGTAAGTAGTTATGTCCATCATACAATTGAATTTCTTTGGATTTTGGATATACTTTGCATGTTTTCTCAACTTTGTCTACATTTTGGAGTTTTCATTCATGGGAAAACTAAAATACGAAACGATCTTGCTCAGTCACCAAATTTTTGGGTGCCTGACTCTTATGTTTCAGATTCATATCTTGTGTCTCCATAGGGTGGGGACAAAACTAATACAGAGGCCTGGGAAGGTGGCTCAGTGGTAGAGTTCTTGCCTTGCATGCATGAGGCCATGGGTTCGATTCTTCAACACTACATAAGCAGAAAGTGGTGCTGTGGCTCAGATGGTAGAGTGCTAGCCTTGAGCTGAATAGCTGAGGGACAGCTCCCTGGCCCAGAGTTCAGGCTCCAGGACTGGCAAAAACAAAAACAAAACTACTACAGGACAAGTCTTCTCTCCCCCAGAAAATGAATTTTTATGGGTCCTCTTCATCTTCTGTTTTGTAATTTTAAAAGCATGAGTTTACTCAAATATTGTGCTGCTGTGTTCTGTCATGAATACTGTTGCTTAATGACTGGGGACACTACTGTGTACCAAGTTTTTCTCTACTTCATATCTCCTGAACCATTCCTTACTGTCTCCTATTTCTATATAAAGATTGCCTTGCTCTGCCTTTCTTTCTCATTGTTGTGTTTATGTTTACGGTGTTGTTTCCTCTATGCTTTGAAGGCTCTCCATGTTTTCTAGATCTTATGACTTTTTGTATATGAGTCATGCTGATCACTTCTCAGGTGAGATTGCTGTTTCTCAACTTTAGATTTTTTTTTTTTTTTGTCGGCCGTGGGGCTTGAACTCTGGGCCTGGGCGCTGTCCCTCAGCTCTTCAGCTCAAGGCGAGCGCTCTACCACTTGAGCTACAGCGCCACTTCCGGTTTTCTAGTGGTTTATTGGAGATAGGAATCTCACGGTCTTTCCTGCCCGGGCTGGCTTAGAACCGCGATTCTCAGATCTCAGCCTCCTGAGTAGCTAGGATTACAGGCGTGAGCCACCAGTGCCCGGCTTTCAACTTTAGATTTTTGAAGCTTGTTTGTTTTTAGAATATTGCATACCCAGGCCATTTAGCTGTAGCTGCAAAAGTTGGTGTAGCTACTGTAAATTCACTACAGTCCCTTGCTATATTGTGGTTCACTCGATGTTTCATTCCCTCACCTATCTTGGAAGTTATGTTCCAGAGGCCCCCCGCAATAGGTGAAAACCCACCAAGTAGCAATAAGTGAACTGTGATATAGCCAGGATGACTATATAACACTGCTGTTTGATGGATTTTCACCTATTGTGGGGATCTCTGGAATGTAACTCCCGTGGTAAGTGAGGGATCACTGTATCTCTGCATTTAAGTGAGAAATTCAGTACATTAAAGGCAAAGGCAGAGATAGATTTCTAGACAAAAGAATTTGGGAGGAATGGAATAGATCTTCAAATAGGTAAATGCTTTCTAAGTGGGGCCATGCCCACTCCGTGTTGAGGAGGAAACTTCTGTGATACAAGGGTGATTCAGTATTTTCAAACTGCTGTAGGGTGAGAATAGAATATATAACCTGTAGGCAATGATTCTTTGAAAAAAATGAAGGAATTGTTAGTGATCTCAGAATTTCCTTCTCATTTCCTACGTTAGATAATAGTGGAATATAGATGACACTCCTATTTAATGAATGGGGATAGAGAAGAAAGAAAAGGGATGGATTATTACAAATTTTGAAGTTGAAAGCACAACTACCAACTTGAGGACACAGTGCTGTTAGGTACAGAATTAAGTAAGTGGTTTCTGAAGAAGGTGAAGGCCATTGTATGAGTAGCTAAGATGAGGAAAGCAGTGAAAGTTAAGAGCAATACTTTTGGTTCTTTTGAAAGTATGTTGTTATAGGATTGATTTCTACAATTAGTGCCCTCCCCCTTTCCCCTCGTGGGGCTCGAACTCTGGGCCTGGGCACTGTCCCTCAGCTCTTCAGCTCAAGGTGAGCACTGTACCACTTGAGCTACAACACCACTTCTAGTTTTCTGGTGGTGGTTAATTGGAGATAAGAGTCTCATGGACTTTCCTGCCTGGGCTGGCTTTTAACTGTGATCCTCAAATCTCAGCCTCCTGAGTAGCTAGGAGAATCTTGTCTTTTCTTTGTAAAATACTGCTTGCTTTAAGGGCTGATAGTTGGATTAATGATAGACTAAGTGCCTAATACTACTTTTTGTTATTAATAAATGTTAGTTTCCTTAATTTTTTGTTTTACATTTTTTTTGCAATGCTTGAGAACTAATCCAGGGCTTGTACATTCTAAGTACACAAGTGACCACTGAGCTATATCTTTAATAATTTGTTCTTTTCCACTATAATCTGTAAGTCTATTGAGACCTTGAAGTACTACTCACTATATCATTCTCCAGCAGAAATTAAAATTAAAAGAGACTAGGATGGAACAAATCTAAAGTACAATTCCTAGGAGTTTGTTTCTCTTGTTGTAAGGTTGGCATCAGTAAAATAGTAGGGATATTTTGTTCTGTTTAAGAGGCTGATATGTAACAATTAAAAACTTGAGCTTCTTAGAAGTGGTGTTTTAAGTATTATATAGTTATTATATTATATAGTTATGTATTTATTTGGTTTCTCTCAAGTTCCTGACATAGCTCCTAAACTCTTGGAATTTTAACTGGAGTGTCTTTGGTTATTTGTAATGAGCCTCTTCTGTTTACCCCTTAGTTTGTGTTAGTGAGCTTGGGGATTTAGAGTGGGAGCACTTAGATGCCTCTGAAAAGAGTTAATAACAAATAAAGACCAAGTAGTTAGAGAGTTGGAACTTTTAGTCTACCCAATGACCTCTGGGAGAATGGGGGAAGTGCTAGAGACTAAGATACACTAAATTCTAAAACACTCGTGAAAAACATGGTTTGCTGAATTTCTGAATTTTAATGCATTCATGTGCAAGTAGCGTGAAGTACTGTAATAGAAGCTCTTGTGCTCCTGGGGCTTGTTCCATGTACCTATCTATGGACTGTCCTCCTTTTATATAGTAGGCTTTACAGTGCCTGGGTAAACATTAAGTAAAGTGTTTCCCTGAATTCTGTGAGCCACTCTAGCAAATTATCAAACCCAAGGAACATGGTTTGGTTTATATCCAATTAAAAGCACAGGTCACAAGCTGGGTGCCAGTGGCTGACACCTGTAATCTTAGCAACTCAGGAGGCTGAGATCTGAGGATTGCAGTTCAAAGCCAGCCCGGGCAGGAATGTCTGTGAGACTCTTTATCTCCAATTAACCACCAGAAAACCAGAAGTGGCACTGTGGCTCAAGTGGTAGAGCACTCCCCTTGAGCTGAAGAGCTCAGAGTTCAAGCCCCATGACTGGGGGAAAAAAATAAGCACAGGTCGGGCTGGGATGTGCCTTAGTGGTAGAATGCTTGCCTTGCATGCATGAAGCTCTGGGTTCAATATCTCAGTACCCACATGAACAGAAAAAGCCAGAAGTAGTGCTGTGGCTTAAGAGGTAGAGGGCTAGCCTTGAACAAAAGAAGCTCAGGA